TCTGGCTCATTTCTAATTTGACAAAAACCAAAGGATCAAGATGTTGCACTGAATATAGTGTTACCAGTTCGCTACAAGCTCGAGAGAGCGAGCGAGTAAGAGAAAAAGAGAGAGAGAGAGACCGAGAGCAAGAGAGAGAAAAATATAAGAAGAAAAAATGTTTTTCGTCTCGCCGAAAACGTTTTATATTATTTCGTAGTATAGAATTTGTACGTATGCTACGTAATATCCCATTTCAACCGCATTCTCTTTCTCTCTCGCTCGGTCTTTTTCGTTCAAAAAGATTTGCAGACGCGGGACTCCATTGCCCGAGCTTCAAAACATTAAGTTTCACACGATTAATTGACATACGATGCAAAGTAGTCGTTGCAAGACGCGAAATTATATTAATATCCAGCACACACTGCGATGGAATACGTAATGCACGCACGAAAGAAGAGAACAAAATAGCCGCAGCTGGATCAGATTCATACGTATGATAATGAGCTGCCGCGCAACGATGACAAAATGTTGCGAACATTCGAAAAGCTAATATGTTAATCCTTCCGTTTCAATTCACCGTAGATTGCGTGTGTGTGTGTGTGTGTGTGTGTGTGTGTATGGACGAGGTCGGGACCACCTGCGTGCACGCAGCTTACATACGTATCGCAAATAGAGCCAGCGATCATACGCCGATGAAGTCTAGGCACTTTGTATCGGAATCGTGCTGCTGCTGCAGCCTCGCCGGAGATGGATGACACGCGTCTGATTGAATGCGCATAAATGTATCTAGCGTGTCCAAGGGTTGCGTTATATCGAGGCAGAGAGAAAGAGAAAGAGAGAGAGAGAAAACGAACGAGAGACCTAGAGAGCAGCAGAGCGATTCGATCCCTCGTGTCGGTGCACCTCAGAGTCTTCCCTCTTTTCAACTTTTATAAATAAATACTCTACTATATAGCTGGCTATGTATAAATGCGTATACATTCTCAGTTTCAGGATATACCGTTACCAACAACAGATTCCACGGCGCAAAGAGAGAGAGCGAGACATAGATCGCGCGTGCCCGTATCCCGTATCCATATTGCTTTCATACTAGAACGAGCACGCTACAATATCGTCGCTGCTGCGAGCCGAGACAACCTTTTTTCTCCTTCTTTCATTCTTTCCCTTCGGTTTTTTTCTTCTCCAACTTCTCTATTCATTCCGGAATTGACCAAAGAAAAATCATTTCGTTTATCAAAGATGAGCGCGCGTGTGTTTTGCGAGAAGACGACAAAAAGTTACGTGTCACATATATTCGAAATAATGCGTGGCGCGCGCGCGCGCATTAAAGACAGAAGAAGAAAGAGAGAGAGCGAGAGTCAGCTCGGTCTTTGACTGGGCCCGGGAGCCAACACAGAACTGCGGCGTTGCGGCGCGTTGGCGGTGCAAAATAAAAGCAACAAAAGCCCGCACGAGACAGCGTAACAAACGCGCTCAAAAGTAGATATCTGCGTGCGCGTATTCGCTTTGAAGTGCGCGTATTACGAGTCTCGAGTCGTAGTCGTCTTCGCGTAATACTCCTATATGTACGCGAGCAAAAATATATATACGTAGGCTATAGTATGGCTCGTTGCACTGCAGTATAGTTACCGCTAAATGCTAATAAGAATATTATTCAAAGTGACTGCAGCTCGCGTCCTTAAAGACTCGCTTCTGAAGGACTTTCGGCTTGTCTGCTTGCTTTGCTCTTTTCCTCAAAACTCCGATAATACACGAAGGTAACACAGCTTATGCTCCTCGACGAGCAACAGACGCGCACATATATCCGCCCACCTAGTGTCACTTGGAGTGCGCTTCAATTTTCTACATCTCTCGAGGCTTCTTTGAGTAGCTCGCGCAGCAAAGGCACACATGCGCGTGTCGATACTAGGAGGCTCGTAACACCAACGTAAACACCCTTTTATTTGCAATGAAAACTTTTCCTGCTGCTCGTTGCTTTTGTCAAATATTGCTTTTCTCGCTTCTGCATTATCATCCGACGGGACGATCGAACTCGTGAGAAAATATCTCGTGGGTGCAGCTCGTTCCCGCGTCTGCTTCTGCATACCTATATATATCTAACCGAATCGAGCCGAATATAATAATCTGCTGGCGATTTTCGTTATTATAATAGATATTTCGAACAGATTATGTGTAGGAAAATTGGACAGCAGCTGTCGGGCTTCTCGCAGTTGCAGCAGCATCGGGATTAAAGTTTTTCGAAAACTTCGAAAATCACCCATTGAATTTGGAAATTCGGTAAATTTTGCCGTAGGATCGTCCAAGCATGTCGAAAGCCACCCTACACACTCTGCTACGATCTCGGTATACACGAAATGTGTGCGAGCGAGAGGAATGTATATACGTACGGCACATGTACACAGACGGAGGCATATAGAATCAAAGTCGAAAACGAAATCGGATTTGTTCTCGCGGCTGCTGCCTCGGCCGCATGTTTCAAACTGCCGATGGGAATGATTTTCACTCTCCCCCTGCGGCTCGAGACAGCGATAGACAGCTGTTGATGATTTCTAGGCTGCAGGAGTCAAATGCCAGCGAGTGCCTGTTTCCGACTGATTGAGGGGTGAGCCTACGGCGTGGCTACACAAATTTATTGAAAAACGAATTTTGAAGATGCTCACAGACTCGAGAAAATTGCTCAGAAGTCGAAATTCTCCAATCGAGCGTAAAAGAGATTTTTTTTACTTGTTTTCGTAAAATTGATCGACCGATCAAGAGGAAAAGAGAAAAAGATAGAATGAGAAAATAAGCAAGAGGGAGCGATAAGTTTTGGGGTCGATACACGATAAATCGAGCGACATTATTATTGTTATTTTTTTTTTTTTTTTTTTACAAGCGATTGAACAATTGCTTAAGTTGTCGATTGAATTCAAGAGCTAAGCGCGTACCCGATGATGGTTTAAAACGAATTAGCAATGACCTAATGAGTTTATGTTTTCTCGGGTTTGACAGGCCAGAAGAAAGTAATTGTTTCACGTGTATGGTTCAAGCGCGGCGCATCAGCCTCAACAGTCGGCAGTAGAGGTGCAGGGATTATTTTCATCTCCAGTTGTTACGGACGCCTCTCCCAGCTTGTGGGCAACGACTTTTCCGTTGCGATGCCCGAGCAAAATAATCAGCAAAAAGTTAAAAAAGCCCCGCGCGCTTGTTGCAAGGTTCACGCGGTCGGGAGGCGAACAAAGGTGCACTCAAAGAGTAGAGAGACAGCGAGAGGAAAGAGAGAGAGAAGAAGAGGAGGAGGAGGGTATAGGAGCCGAGAATCAAAGGAAACGTATACATATACAGTAGCAAAAAGTGCAAACGCGTTACGTGCTTCTTTACGATATACAGAAAGACAGAACAAGAGCAAGCAGAAAGGCTCAATGCTCGTAAATTGCGATTAGCTACGGGCGTAATAAGCTACTGCTTTTATATTATAGCTCGTCTAAGCAACGCGCCGTTGTTTCTTCTCAAAGTCACGATACGACTCGTCTTCGCCGTCGTCGTCTTCGTGCTCCTACCCGTTAAAAGAGCTTTTTGCACTTTTCTACGTTTACTGCTTACTTTAGCTCCGCGACTCTCGTGCGCTTATCTTTCGCCGTACACGGATACTTTCGTTAAATCCATTGCAGGCCGTGAAATTTGAATTCGAATCTGCTGTGCGAATATGGAATTATCGATCTAATACAGAGAGTCATTTACGATGTAAGTCATACACGATAGAGAGCCAGAAAGTGCGGGCAGTGATTTTCATTTGGAAAACTCGTTAAATCAGTGAATTGAAAATGAGCCGTATGATTTATATCACAGTATATAAAGTTGATGTGTGTGACTGAAGTTGTAATGGACATGCCTGTGTGCTCAAGCGATTGCAGCACAGAGCAAAATCTTTCAAAGCCGTTTTACTTTTCAAAAGAATATTTATAAAGTATAATGTACTAACGACAAAGTGATTTAGCATTATATATTTTATCCAAGTGTACTGTTTATGCGATACTTCACGCACCTGCCAGATTCAATAAGACGTTAGAATGAAAATATATAATTTAAAAAAATGTGTCAAACGATAATTGGATGTATTAACTGACTTGGATGTGATCAATGGTACTTTAATTATTTCATAAACACGTGCCGAAAAAAGAAGTAACATTTTAATGAAAATCGCATAAACTAATATGAGGATGAAAATAGCAGAAATCGATTTTTGGTGCACTGCTCTCATGTATATCGATATTTTCCATTGTATCGAGTCATTATAATACAAATTTATCTTCTGTCGTTCAGTTGGAGAGGTCACGCATGCACTTGTCTCAACACGCAGAAATTGTTTACTCATACACGACGCACATCGAGGCGCAGAGAGGAAAACTCACGCAGCAGTCGAGTATTTAATTTAGCGCGAGCAAAGAGTTGCCGTGTCAATAATAGTCAAACGAGTACGCGAGCTATTTATCATATTTTCAAACCTGCATACGAGCGTATTTAGTGGTCATCTTTTAAATATTATTAGTGATCCGGACGTTTTGGAATTAATATATTAATGAGCGCACCAACTTAGCGGCAGCGTGTGTTTAATTTCGACGCATAAATGCAGTATCTAGAGCAAATATCAAGTCTTATCAGTAGGTCATTAAAACATTAAAAGAAAAATAATTTACTTTTCGAGTTTTGTAGCAAATTTTTTTTTTCAAACACAAACCAAACTGACCCAGGATCTTGTTACCTGGCCCATGCAAACCTTATGGCAATTTATTGTATCGGTCACGTACGTACAAATCGAAGGGAGAGGCATATAAACAAAAGAAGCAAAAGGAGAAATCATCTTGTAGGAGAAAGAGAGTCGAGCTTGTATTCGTACGTGTATACGCCGGTGCCGGAGCGTGTGTCGCGGGCTCGTGGCGCCGGTCCAGTCTACGAGACCGAGCCTAATTTGCGTTAGTTCGAGCTACTTTGAGACTGTACAAATAAGGAAACATATATACAAGAAGTAGGGAACTTACCAGGGAATCCACCTCAGGGTCGGCGATGTAGTAAGGCTTCTCGTTTCTGATCTATAACAGATAAGCACAATTGTAAAGGTTAATTATTAGAAAGCTTGTATTTTAAGTATTATTGTAATTGTTGAGCACTCTACAAATGCCTGTAACAATTTTTTCTTCGAAATAGTTACACATATAAAATTTTTATCTCAATATGACTTTTAAATAAAAGATTTAAAAAAGCACACATTTTCTTAGAATTCATTCAAGCGCAAAACGCAACGACGTTTGATTATTTACTTATCCATACGAGCGTGCGCAAGCTCATAGATCGAAATTAAAATCTGAGAAAGCACTTAATTTCGTGTCATTGGCAGGTACGACGAGAATATAGTCACAGTGTCAAGCCGATATATAGACGCACTCATAAGCCGTGTGCGTACGCGAGCGCATCGCTAATTAATTTCCGTCTCTCATTTTATCCCTCGAGCGGATCGTACTCGGCCGAGGTTTTATCTCTGCCGGTTATGTTTGCGGAACGTTAAGTTCTCGTCGAGTATTTCCCTCTCGCATGCGCGTGCCTGTGAACCAAGCGCGAGGAAAAGCAAATGGAATGTCGAGCGCGATGACGACGATATTCATGAGACTGAATCGGAGTGGGTATGTGCCTATATACGCGATGCTCGCGATGAAGGTGTCTCGTCGAGTGAAACGTCTCGCTGAGTATAGAACAAAAATACCGTCACTTTTTGCACGCAACCGACTGGAGACTCGCCTACATAGATACGCGCGCATGTAAGCTCTCCTCGCTCCTCACGTCCTTTTTCTCTTGTTTTAAAGATCGCCGTGTCGCCTCGATCGTCCTTCATCCAGATTACATCTTGAACGTGTACGAACCGACTGTGTAGTGGACAAGTGTTGGATAAACAATTTGTAATTCTCCGATATATAATAGGCTGTGTAGCCTATATCACGCCTTTGTGAGCTTTGACGAACGCGTGTGGATCTCTTCTTCTCTCCCTCGAAGTACTTGAGCCATTGTTTACGTATGGACTTAAATATCGTTTGAGAGAAGTGAGAAAACTTGATTTACATCACTGTTGTTATACACACCTTTTTCGTCACCTCGTCGGGTTTTTATATTGACTTTTACTGCTCTCTCGATGATCAACGTCTAATTCGAACGCAATAAAAACCGAGCTCATCGTTTGTTGACCATTTTACTTGATTTTTTTACGACTTTTTGGTCAAACTGTGGTACTTATAAATTTGTGTCAGCTAGATTTTACGATATTCAACTGATAGATTTGAGATTAATTCCTTCATCTTATTTCCTATGAGTTAGTTAAAAAGTGAAAGGCATTTGACGCAGAATAAATCAACGAACAACCGATCAGCTAGCGCAGATGTAATCTCTAACAAGATCATTGGCGCCACAAATATGAGAATTCTCGGCCATGATTTCATGTATAGGTGACATTTGCAAATCAATATTGGCTGAATATTCATCTTGATTCTATTAGAAATTTTTCATTTCTGATTTCGCAAATAATTTGATAGAAAATCATTAAGGAATATTTGTGTGAGAGGTCCGTTCGCAGTTGTTAAGTATTATGTCGGTGTGTCCTTTGTGGCATTCGACGATTCTTGTATCAAAAAGAGAAATGGGAAAAGAACTACAAGCGCGGTAAAATATGGCTTACAAAGTAACACCGATAAGTTCGAGCATGTATATAAATGCGACTATTCGCAATAAAACACGGTGAGCATCGAGGCTTGATTTACAGCTCATTAATGAGGACAGAAAATGACAGAGTTTATAGCGTAGCAAGGAGCAGCGCGTCGATCGCATAACATAATACCGAGCGCGTCTCCAGCCTTGCGGTGAGTGTACACACAGCAGACGCATACACACACACACACACATAATGTTTCTCGCTCATCGCTTGTACCGATAAGTATGCATATATTGTCAGCTCGTTGCGCCTATGTTAGATGATAAAAAAAAAACCTGCCGCATGGCCGCCGTCGTCGTCGTCATTGTCGCTGCATAGCTGCTTACTGCGGCTGAATGCGATTATCGAGCGATTCGCGTACATTGCACGTCCTTTACACATTTACTTTCAGTATATTTGAATGCAGAAAACGGACGTGTCCACGTGCATAAGTAAGGATGATGACACCGAGCTCGCGTCTGCATTGTAGTTTCCTCCGCTTGAAAATCAGAACTAGAAATGCATTGTAATTCTATGCAAGTCTCCGTGTACTTTCGTTCATTGGCTCCGCGGTGATGAGATGCACCACGAACCAAAGTTACTAAGCGTGCCCCTTTGAATGTACATCTTTGGTATAATTAGTCTAAATCGTCATGTCGTGGACGAGATTGAGCAAGTAAATCACCGAGAAAGTAATCGATGTGAAAATTATAAAAAGTGCGGTTATTATGATCTGCTCTCAAGATTAAGTCTACTGGTGTTTGACTTCATAGCCAATAGTGATTCATCGTTGTATTTCCTTATTTACAACATAACTGACTCTGATGAATTGATTAATCGTCCTACAAAACCACATAACTAAAATATATGATGATCACTTTCTTTTGTTTCACAATCAATTTTATTATCGCAATAAAACATAAGCATGCCATTTAGAAAGTGAGAAAAAAACACCTTGCGACAAAAAAAACACGTCGTAGAAAACATTTTTATAATGTGACAAAAGAAGTCGCTTTATAACTCAATTAGCAGTAATAATCAATTTCATCGAGATGCTGTTTAGTTTTTGTGTACTATCTGTCTATTCTTGGCTGTAAATCAATTACTCAACAGCCATAAAATTCGAATAGTATTGAACAAACTCGACATTATAATCCGTAAAGCAGGTGTAGATCACTGAACGTATACTAGGTTACAAATTGATTTCTCTCTCTCTTTAACCTGGTCATGCAGACGTACAGATCAAGAAAACCAGTAATCATAAATATGTTTGAATTGATCGCGAGCAAGAAGCATAACCACACGTTGTAAAAACATTTTGTTTGAAGTATCCAGGCGCGTGGACAAAAATCATCGTGCGTTTATGATTTATGCTACCTTATGAGTGAGCGGCGAGAGACGATCTATGCTCGATAAATATGTTGACAGGAAGAGAAAGAGTTGCCCGGGCGTGGAAGCAGTGCACATTAGTCAACATACGTCAATCGTGTGATCTAGGCGTTTTACGGGAATTTTAGTGGCGTCCCTCTTACTTGACTGTTTGTTTTTTAAATCGTTGTTAAATTTTGTAACTCGCAAAATGAATTCATAGGGATGCTTGTGTGTGTCTTATTACCGGGAAAAAGTACAACTCAAGGCCGCAGTACGATCCGAGGCGAAATGCGATGATTATCGCGCCGATATTTTTGTTATTCGTATCTTATATTAATGAATTCACGAGCTTGGTACGTGGAGGAAGGCCTTTTCGTGCATTCTAAATATTTAGTATATGGGTAAAAATCATCGGCCGAGAGAGAGAATCGTACAAGGCAGGAACAGTTGGCATTGGTGCTATAGTTACAAAGTCTGCGGTGTATATACTTTACAAGCATCGTAAAGATTAAATCGGCAACTTTTATTATTGTTGTGTCATCTGTCTCCCCGCGATCATATGTGCACACACATGCACATTTCGCGCGTGCATATCAGTATAGAAGTAGCTCGTTATCGCTTTTATAGCGACTTTGATGACGATGATAATGACGAAGTTGACAACGCGACTGCCCGCGATGGAATTAATTTTCATCATTATATACAATGCCGCATCGTGTATATGCACTCATATGCGCACGAGTTTTCAAGTATATAGTTGGTTCTGTCGAACTATGGTCAAGGACGACGACAATCTGTGAGAGCGATTGAGTTTTCACAACGTGCGCTTGTGTAGAGAAGCGAAGAGAAAAAAAACGGGAAAGCTGAATCCATCAAAGTACCAGCATAGACATTCATCAAACACGATGAGGCTCGAGTAAAAAATAGATATACCTTCTCGGCGCCGTTCTACGCGCGCTCATGTGCGCGCGATGGGATATTTGCAGCATGTGGTCTATGCGACTATCTCTCGCGCTCATGCACACTCATACATACGTATATATATCTATAGGTGTATGCGGCATATACACGCGTACACCATACATAATATGTTTTCCACAATGCTCTTTTGCCAGTTCGAAGTTCCATCATTGTTCGATCGCTCGTCGCGCGCAAAAGAGAAGCGAGTTCTTCTGTCTCTTTTTCTCTCTCTGGCCCATAAGGAAAGTGGGGCGCTCTCTTGTATATGCACACACAATAATATCGAAGAGAGAGAGAGAGAGAGAGAGAGAGAGAACAGCATATGAGTTGCGCGCGCGAGGTATGCCACTGAGCGAGCGAGCGTGTGAGCATGTGTGTGTGTATGCGTGTGTGAAGGTAAAAAAGGGCATAACAATGCTTTTCTTGCTCTCTGCTGAGCGCGCGCGACTGCTCAGCGGGGCATCCCACAAAGACCACGTGTGCTCCGATTCGCAGCCAGCTTTTAGAGCGCTCGAGCCCAGCACAGCCGAGGGATGTAATGTGCCTTGACCCGCTGAATAGATCAATTTCAATGCTTAAAAGTGAGCAGTCTTTCGTCGTAGATGTATGATGCTTTTTTTGCTGCTGCTGCGAGTGCCGTTCGCGATGTACCACGCACATGGCTGCTCCGATGATTTCGGATTTAATCCATGAATTTCAACGGTATCAAACGGTCAGTTAGACGGAGTTTGAAAATTAATATTCTTTGTTAGTATGTAAGGTAGTTAATCCATTGAAAGAACGCTTAATTTCAAAGCACGATCGCCAAACTGAAAAATGAGCAGCCATCGTTATAGGTTCATAAAAAAGCACTGTCCCCGTGAATGCACCCGAGTATTGCTCTTATTCTTAGAGTTGTTTTATTTTGGCTTGGGCTTGGGTAAAAATGTACAAGTACATGAATACTTAGACGCCCTCATGTATACTTGCTCATGTATCAGAACTCGCAAGCTAATCCCGATTGCCGTATAGCCCGACGAAGGTGCATTGAATTAGCGTGTGTGTAGAGACGCATGCGCACTGGAGTGTCACGCACGCACAAAATAATTTAGCGTCTGTTAATGCCACTGAAGTTTCTCCACGAGCAATGAGTACTGTTATAGCGTACATTTACTCGCACGGGGCTTTTTGTTTTGCTTTGCTTTCATAAAAAAAGTGCTTGTTTGTGTGCGCGTGTGTATCTGTACTTATAAATTTCGGTGTCGGGCTCTTGTGTAAATAGATTCGTCTCGCGTGAGTATGTATCAATAGACAAATAGCGTTTCTTCATAATCCACAAGAAGATTATCGACAGTTAATTCAAAGTTGTGACCACAATTATTTTATTTTTAGCTTTTAGAATTATCACCTACTAATGCATTAGATCGTGATAATGATATTAAGATAAACTTTAATGAATTCTACGAGTGATCACTTGAGTGAAAAATTCAAAAGAAATCAAAGTTGAGGCGAAGAATAGCGGAAGAAAATGTCTTACAAAAGTTATCACATAAAAATGGGTGGCAAGGTAGTACATATTTTCATTATTAACTAATCAAATAACGCTTTTAATAAAAATGTTAATATGTTGCTAAAATGTACTAGATATTTGCATATTTGCGATTTTTTAAAAGAAATTGAAGTCGATAAAAAGACTTTTTGGAAGAACAACGAATAAAGTAAATTTTTTGAAAGAAACGATAACATTGATAAGGTGATATCGATAAGTTACATTACATAACCATTTATACTAAATCAACACAGATATAGATCATGATCATCCGATTCATTATTAAGCGAAACTTCCATAATGTTCAATGATTTTTTTATCGTTCATTCAAATACATTTGAATTATTTTTCAATGTTTAGCGGATTTTCAGAATTAGTACGCGATTTTTAGAAATAAAAATTACAAATTGAATGATTTCGGTGTGTTATATAGCTAAATCAAATCCAATCATAAGTTTTGGTAGTCTCTAAAAAAACAAACATCCATTTCACAGAAGAAATTATTTTTTCAAATTTCGAGTCAACAGTGTTTGTAATTTTGAATGTTGACTAAAATCGTGAAGTCGCTCAAGTGAAATGAACTTTGATTCAATAAAAATAATTGTACTCTATAAATTACCAAACACTTTGGCTTACTACTTTTATTTCTGTGCATAGTATTTTTTACATTTAGTGTTCAATTTTATAATGATGATACAACGAAAAGAAGGATCATGTTAAGAGAGAGACACAAATGATATAAAACTTAGAAAAATAATTATTTACGCACTACTTTCCGTTTTAATCGACAAATAATAATGCAACATTATGAATTAGTGCACTTTTCACATTTTTTTCTATGTATTCTCTATTAATATTTATATTCGTATGCTGTATTGCTAAACTTTCTCTGCATACTGTGCTTCTATTATGATTGAGGGAACACTTTTCTAAATTTGAAATGTAAGTTTTTAAATCAAATTGCAAATTTATAAGTTCTAGTAAAACAAAAAATGTTTTGTTGTTAAAAAAAATACCAAGTTTTGAAAAAAATTTATTTTATGAGAGTTGAAATTTTTGTTTCACTAAATATGATACATAACTTCAGGAATCAGTCCAAGTTATATATTTTTTCACATAAAACCAGGCAGCTTCAAAATACTAAAATTTTACGCGTTAAAACTTCGAACTATTTTAGAATGGACGTGTTCCGGTGCGTAGGTTTGAGGTGTTAAGTCTAGTCGAAAGTATGTTTTTTTATGTATATTTTCAAAAAAAACCAAAATATCTAAACAATAAAAATATAGGACTGAATACAAATGTAAGACTTATTTCATATTAAGCAATTTATAGTTGACCATTTCTAACAAGACATGTCGAATTGAGTACAATATTAGTAAGATAAACTCCAATCCTCTCTGTGAAAAGTGATCCGTTTTTCGACTATTGATTGTAAATATTTCGACTTGAAATTCTTGATACGATTTTTGAGCGATTCATAAAACAAAACACTTCGGACTTATACATGATAGCTAGTACGATATAATTATAAAATTGCAAAAATGCAAGAGTTTTAAAAAGGAGCATTTTGTGCGCGGCATGGGGCTTTTTGGCTCGTATTACCATCTGTGTCCTTGGGGGCTGTATGACGACAACTCCTCTTTAGATTTACTCGCTTTCTTCGCGCTGCCATCATCATCCAAGCAGTGCAGCTTCTCTTCTGCCTCGTTGAGCACGCGACGTGCTGATTCTTCGCGTACGTTTTTGTAACTATACATATATTTATTATACATATAGCTGGTCCTTTTATTTCTGGTGCCGCTCGCTCATTGCAGCAAATACACGGTACACTCCGAAAAATTTACCCACGCGATTTTATTGCTTGAGCCAGCTCTTCGAGCGATCGACGCTGGACGGCGGGAATTTATATGATTACTTTTCAACGTTTTGTTTTGATTCAGGCGAGATTAATTGCTTCGTTATGAGTCGTTTGTGAGATTTTAGTTGTAAAGTTTTTGTAAGCTCTCTCTCTCTCTCTCGGGCGCGCACCCGCGTTCAACCTTTGCTCGTTGAAAAATTTAAGTGCGAAAAATCTGCGATGATTGATGCTGATTTAGCGCGCAGCATCAATTTGGAATAATAAAACAAGCAGATGAGATTTTCGAGGAACATATTATTATCAATATTATTACGATTGCATAAGGCTCTCGAAAAAAAGTGGCAAAAAACCGAAGCAAATTATAAAATTCCAAAAAATCATCGCCCAAGTCGGCTCGCTCTCGACTATATTAACATTTTATTAGAATAATAATAATAACATGACGAGCTCACGAGTTGGCGAGCTGCGTTCATTATAGCGATGTTTACGACCTTACAACCGTACGCGTGCTTATACAAAGTCTTCGTCGTATAAGCGAATATTTTTGTTTTTCTGCGTACGAAACGGAAAATAATTAATTCAAGACTTTCACTGATGAGCGTATTCCGACGACGACAACGACGACAAGGATCGCTTCCAGTGCGCACAGGGGTGATCTCGACAGATCGAATTCCACGAGCTCTCTGCGCGTATGTGCGAACGACATCCGTGCCGCAACGGAGCACGAGCGCATGCAGACTCAGAAAGAGCTCGACGTTGCCGCAAGAGTATAGTTATACGTCGACGTGAAGCTAGGAATGTCTTACGCGCGCGAGATTCTCGATATAGAGGTATCTTTTCGCCTGCCGGTTCTCTCTTTCTCTCTCTCTCTCTCTCTCTCTCTCTCTCTCTCTCTCTCTCGCGAGCAAGATTTAATAATAGCAACACTCGTGCGAGCTCTGACCAGCCATGCCTCATGTGCTCATCTTTTTTATTCTCTCAAACTTCATAATTAATTTATGCGCATATCCTTATTATTCTTCTTTATATTTTTACCATTGCTGCATTTTGAAGAGCTTAGTTTTCTTTGCATTTAACTTGAAACAATGTCTTTCGTAAGACGATTAATCTTAATTTTGACAACATTTTGTACAGAAGGTTAATGACCTTTTCAAGGTAAAGATTTCAAACGAACGAGAGTCAAAAATTCTTATGATTTACTTAAAAACTGTTTCTTTTGCTTTACTATTCTTTTTTTAAATCGCATTCTCAAGTTGGTGAATTCGCTATTAATCCAAGAATACTGCGTGAAAACGAATGTGAGCTACATTCACTTCCCGGAACGCCCAAATTAACGTGGACTTCTCCCTTGCTTTCTCAACACTCTATAAAGCTTTTGGACTAGTTTCTTATGGGATATTATATAGCAAAAAGTGCTCGTTATAAATTATAATTAAATTCACAATCGCATTTTTTCGCTCAAACAAGAACTGAATTTAAAAATTTTCGAGGACACTCACCTGTTTGGAGAAGACGGCGATATCTTCGTTGAAGCTTTCGGACGAACATACGTCACCTCCTGCAACACCAGGATCGCGTGGTGTGCATGTTGCCAGTTCGCATTTTTCGAAAATTAGCGCTAGCAGTGGAAACAAAGGATGTCTGCAAAAGAAAAAAGGTAAAACGTTAATGAATGAAAAACTCGGGTCGTGCTTCATTGTTTTACATAGGTTAATCGATTAAGATTTATTGGCATCAAGATCGCGACGAAACTCGAGGTTGAGCGATATTACCTCATCGGCGTGTGATTAAATTTGAGGCTTATCTCATTTTTTTCTTCGGCGTGCATACTGCATGCTCATAATTTGTAATTATTGCTAATCAAATATTTTTCCAGAAAAAATCGAATGCCCCTGTGCTGAATATACATGCACACTCCGCGGGATGTGCGCATACATACACACAAACAAACGCATACAAATACACACTCATGCACACGCGTATAGACGAAACCAGTTCTCGTCGATGAATCACCGCTACTCAGGTATATACATGTACAACAAATCTCAAAAAAGCATTTCATCATCATCATTACGCGAACAACAACCAGGAAAACTAAACCTCACGGAGCTGTCGTTGCTGCTACTTCTTATTTTTTTATTTTTTATTTTTCAGTCTCGTTCACATATTAAAACATAGCAGTGCTCGACGGCTACTTGGTTAGACCGTATTAATTTTTTGTTCATCGTCGAGAGGAATTTGCATTTTAAGGGCCTTGTCGACGCGCTCGAATGATTTTATTTTTTCATCGTTGCCTTTCTTGCAAACAGCATCGAGCTTACGAGCTTGAAATTGCAATATAGAGGCCAGAACTCATCGCTCGAAACGAAATTTAGTGCATAGGGACAGCGCCGCCACCTCGCAATGTCTATACTCATATATATACACCGAGTGAGAGGGCCAAAAGGAGCCGTGTAAAAAAAAGGAAAGAATAACATGCAATGGGTCGTTGAGCCTGCAATGATGTTGCCATACCGTTGCTCATCAGTGCCAGCTAACTGACCCAGCCACATTTATTTTTCTTCGTGTTTGTTATACACACCTGCCTGCTTATATGGTAACTCATAGTGCAAAATTTATTGTTTTCATTGAAAAATGGCTGCTTCGCTCGAAAAGCCCGAATCGATGTATCGCATACAAAGTTGATGCAATAACAAACGAGAGTTGTGGTACTTGAGAGTTATTGAAGATATATTTTTCTTTGCATGGATTAACATCGGCTATCTGATGTTACACATTGTTTTCTTTGTTATACAAATTAAAGCGGGATGCAACTTTCAAGCAGGAAATAATAAAGTCGAATCAATGCCGGAATGATCGAGCAAGCGAAATTCTTGCATCTAGAGCTCGGAGCTACATTAAAAAACGATATAGCTGCAGCGAAAATGCATCATGAGCCACGTTTCGTTGGCTAGGAGAATAGCCGAGTTGCTCCTTCTGATCTAAGTTAACGCACAGCGAGCTCTTATTAAATACTCGCATAAATCACGCTCAGCTTTACAAGTCGTGGTGGTAATGGTAATGGTGGTATAGCATACGCGTTCCTCTTGGGCTCACTATGCTCTATCCACATCTCGCTTGCAGCATACAAGCAAAAGTGTAACGCACACACACGCAAACGTTTTCGTATACCTGTTTGTACAGGGAGCATTTGGCATAGCGGCACATAAATTTTCGTCAAAAATTCGGCAAGGGTCAGAGCAACGTCAGCTTCAGCAGCATCAGAGGCAATATAGCAGCAGCAACAGCAGCAGCAGCAACGGCAACGATGGAGTAAGAAAGAGAGCAAACTCATCACGCGATGCGAACGAAAGGAAGGAAGAAGGAGAAGAAGAGAAACGAGTCCGGTAGCCGTTGTTGTTCTTGCCGCTGCTGCCTGCCATGGTTTAAGGTCGAAGGTGTTGTTGCGTTTGCAAGCAGCAGCATCTTACAGCGTTATAAAACGATTCGGAACGAATTTCGACAAATTGACGCGTCGCTGTGCGGAGCAGCCAAGAGGAGAGACCTGTGCAAAAAAGGATTTTTACTCCGCGTACAGTTCTCGCTCGCCGAATGAGTTTGAGCCGACTTATAGACCAGACGGCGTGATGGCTTTTTTTGTTTGCTCGTGTATGTGTGTATGTATACAAGCCGCGGAGGCACTTCTCTCGCTCGCTGCATGGATCAAACTTTACGAGTGCCTAGCATCTCACGAGAGATTAAATTATTGGACCTGATATTAGGAATTAATTGAGCAGCGGCGCGAGATGGTCTCTTGAAAAGTCGTAAATGATTTAGCGTGCGATCTGAGTGGAAATTGAAGGATTTAATACTAATTTGCGTGTCGGAGATGGTAACAGAGAAGAGAACAAGATGTGAAAGAGCACATATATCAAAAAATTAATGGCGCTGCGTATGCGTGCTCGCGTGAGTGTACGTGTGTGTGTGTGTGTGTGTGTGTGTGTGTGACGAGATTTTTTGCGTGAGCTCGCGCGCGCGCACGCGGCGTTGGCTTATATGCGCGCAAGCTCGTATCCACAAATCTTCGGGCCATTATAGGAGTCAGCGACGATTCAACAGCTGGCCGCAGTCGAGCTCGACTGCGGAGAAACCAGAAATTCAAGAGCCGCGCGGCGACACTACTTATATATAGCACAGTATATACAAGTGGAATCAAAAGGTATATTTGCGGGCATCTAGCTCTAAATATAATTCCAACTTACTGTAAGGAGAGAGAGAGAAAGAAGATGAGAGCCTTCGTAAACGCATAATAATATATTATAAACAGCGCGGCCGAGTAGTAGTAGTAATGCCGGGAGGAAGGGAGTGAGCGAGAGAGAGAGAGAGAGGTTTAGTTGCGGGTGTGCGTGAAACAGCTTGACAAATGACTGGTGAACGACCTAGGTGTTGCTCTAACGATGCCCACACTATATGTATACACTAACCCATAATACGCGAGCGTATAACATACACAGGCGTATATAAGGATAATGATATGATACATTTGATTGCTGTACACAGTCGTATTCGTTTTCCGAACGATCTGTGGTTTTGTGGTTTTCGTCACACAGTCGCGCACACACCGCTCATATATATTATATTTGCGAACGCATACCAAATCTACAAAAGGCATCGACTCGTGCTATATAGCAGCTCCGATATTGGCATTCTTTGTGCTGGCTCGGAATTGAAAAGTCAATAACGCGTTTAAAGTGTGTGTTTGTGTGCAGTGCTACTACTTATTCATACATGCGCCACAATAATTGAATGAGATTTTTCTCGTCTCTCACTTTTCTGAAAATTAGATTGAAATAGCTCGTAGAGAGATATACGTATACGCGTCGTGTATCTATTATGCCGCGAGTATATAGCGAGGCAAAGTTATATGTAGGCCATTGCAGACATAACAACGAGTGCGCGCGACGGTATTGTCGAACTTCGAGTGGGAAAAACGTCGATTTCATTTAACGATAAATTGGAGCTCCGCAGGGCTATTAGCGCAATTTTCTTCAGTCGGAATTGTCAGCTCGCGCGCACTGCACAACAGCCCGAGTAAAAGGTGCAGTGCACGTCGTTCTCTTCAAACGGTGTGCACGACCGAACGAATGCAAAAATCCTCCAAGGTCCTTTTACAGCTATTACATGCTACACACACATATGCTGCGGCATATAATACCGCTGCAATGGAGCGCGAGAGCCTTAAGGATTATTCTCGGCGACGAATCTATCGTGACTGCGGAGCGCGCACTCGCTTGCGTAAGTTTTACATCGTTTCTTCTTACGTAAAAATTGAGCAGGCGAGCGTGTGCATATACGAGAAGTGATTTCTCGAGGTGTGCGAGCTACACAGAGCGGCGCATGCACGGCGCATTTACTCGCACGCGAATGACAAATGCATTTTTTAATTTGAAAAAAGAGCGTACCGCGCCCGCGGAGCCTTGCACACACACATACACACATAATTGGATGCTTTGGTCGCGCGCCCGTTGTGGCAATTGCTCAAATGCTATAGCACGACCAAGACGGCGACTTACGAGGAAATTTCATGCGCTCTGTGCACACTGTGTTAGTGTGTATGCGTTTACAGGTATTACGTGCTCGAAAGCGGTAAAGAAACATTTTGGACATATTAGCGAGCAACGGCATACCGCAAAAGTTGGCGGTAGTGGCAGTAGTAGTGCCGCCGCCGCCGCAAAAGAATGCGCTAGCCGCGCAGCGATGATGCAGCAGCAGCAACAGCATCACCACTGTAGTACGTACTACCACCACGCACGAGCCCGACACGCAAGAGTGTCTATAACGTAGGAGGAGCAGCAGCAGCTAAGCATCCGAACATTCCAGGAAAGTATGCTCCTCTCTCTCTCTCTGCACAGACTGGCCACACGACGAGGACGAGCACGACGAGTGGACAAATTATAGGGTATTATGCAGCAGGGCCTGGTCAAAATATAATAAGCTCCCGTTCGGTAGATAGCTGCGCGCGCGCGCCCGTCCGTACGGCCCTACCTGTATTATAGCACGTTTACATATAATACTTGCGCCCGTGCATGTACGGCATGCGTATATTCCGCCTTGGACGTGCGCGATCTTTCGACGATAAATCACTTTCTGGCCTCCGTATATGAAGCAGCAGCAGGCCAGGAAGCGATCGGCCGCTGCCTAAGATTTTGCGCCCGCAAGTCTCTCGATAATACGGCCCGTACTGCTGCTTCTGCACATGCTCCTCTCGGCCGCGCGTGATTGAAATATCTCGCCGCTTTAATAATTAGCGCAAAGAATGTTACATTTAGCCGCCGATCGCTTCGGTAGCCCCGGCCCTCGACGATCGTCGTCGAGCTATTACACGATAACCGCGAGCTTTTTGTTGTTTTACATTTTTGCGATATTACAACGTCGACTTACTGGTAAATGGCGTCCTTGTCGCGTTTAACGTGGGCTTCTGGTATTGTGGATGCAGCCGCCGCAGCAGCCAGTACATGGGGTGGCTGTGGCGGTGGTGGGTACTGTGGGTGTCCAGGGCCCATCGCACCGAGGTGCGGACTGTGATGAAGGCCCGGCACATTGCGCGCGCTGGCGTGTGGGTCGTAGATGCCACCGCCGGCACTTCCGCCACCCTCGAGGTAACCGCCATGGATCCCTCCATCTTCGTACTGAAATGTCAATCAAAAAAAATTCGAGTGTTAGTCATCGATTGTAACCATGCCAATCGTATTATTTATTTTGAAAAAAGTTGCAAGTCTGTATGGTAGAAGCGTTGAGTTTCTAATCGAGCGCTGTATCGCTCGTGCGTGGCTTTACGAGCATTTTCCAACGTTTTCAAGTACTTTTTTTTGACCGGCTATCCCCAAGTACTTTTTTTTATCCGCACGCCTAATACTTATGCACAATTACGTACGCGAGCTCGAGGCAAGGCAACTAAGATAAAAGTAAACGATAATGCAAGCTGACAAAATTATAGTCGTATAGATTATTTCTATCATAAAAGGCCACATTTACAGCCTTTTGATAGGCATTCGAGTGACGCTAATGTATTTCTCGTATGAGTAACGAGCAAAAGTGTCATAATATCGAGAAAACTGCATTTCCATAACTTTGCAAGTGCGTGTAGTCCAGCTTTTAACGGTCGTAACAAAAAAGAAACGAGAGAGGAAAAAAATTAAACGATATTTTATTCCGTTCTAAGCGAGCGCACGAGTACGTGAACGCGTCTCGGAAAGTTGATTGCGCCAGGTATCGGAGTTTTTAAAGGGCCACAGCTGGTGTACACGATGATCATGACACACCAAGCGCATATATACCTACTGCTCGACCTGCACTACATTATGTGGCTTATAGAGCTTCCAGAGCAGCACTAGTCACGGCTACAATGACGACTGCATAGTCGATATCGCGTAATTGCTCGACCGAGTTCAAGTTTGTGTCGTCGATCTCTGGTGCATGTATGTACATTTCTTCCTTCTCATTCGACAACTAAGCTTTGTAAGGGCTCGAGCTATACGTGTATAGTGCACCACATATACACATATATATACAGAAGTATCTTATTCTCTCTCTCTCTTGCTCATGCATATGTAATCGCTTCCCATTGGCCGCTTTGACTTCCTTTGCTAGACACGAAGGTACTATACGCCAAATTTCAAATTTTTTGTTCGTATTCGTTTATGAATTAATTATTATGATGTATGCCCACGTCGAACTGAATTATAATAACGACTTTTTTAAATTTTCTAGCATCTATTTATGAAAATCGAGCATTTAATATCGTCATCAACTATATTTTATCGTAGATTTTTTTATTAATTAGTTAATTAGAAACGTTAAATTGAATTGAACGAGAGCGGTAATGTGTTATATCGATTTGCTGATTGATTTTCCATGTTAGTCAAGTGCGATTGATCATTGGTATTTCAATGGAAGTAGCCTGATTTTTATGAATTTATTAAGTAATGTAATCGTGAGTGTGTATGAGTGTGTGGATCCGTATAAATATAAGGAAATTATCTATGCCAGTAGTAGACTCTTGGCTATACACGTTTGTATATTATTTAACCAAACCAGTAAGTAAATATTTGACGAAATGTAGGCTCGCGTTCAACACCAACAAAAAGGTCAATAAGTTTGAGCACATAATACACATACAGGCAATGCCAATTCTCGAGTCTAATTTTTTAACCTGGCAATAGGTATGAAAGTTATTGACGTGTTATAGTCTCAAGGTAGATTAGACGAGTTTATTCAAATAGTCAATAGGCTACCGTAAGCGCGTGCGACACAAGCCCACGAATTGTGCTACGAAGCAATCGGATATACAATGAAGATATTTACACTTGTAAGCTCGAAAAACTGATAATTCTATTATGAAAACAAGTGGGCGCGTATCGAGATAATGAAATCGTATATAAGTCTCGTTATACGATCGCGTGTGCGTGTGTGTGTGTGTGTGTGTATTTGTATCTCTACCGCCGAATTCGCAAGAACGTGTATAGTAATCAAGCTATCGCTTATAATTGATTATATCAAAAATTTGCGCTAGCCTCCGAGATTTTTTGAGACGCTGTGTAAACTTTTTCTATCCGCTCGAAACAAAATAATATAATCACTGTCGCACGAGCGAGAAAAAAATCTCACGCTTCATTTCCAAAAATGTATGTATATATGAACGCGTGCGTTTTGCCGCACCGTTGTAATCCTCCAAAGAATTCTCGCATTAATAAGCGTTCGTTCTTTTTTTCGAATTCTGTGATCCATTGAATTTTAATCATTCTTCTCACGACTAGAGAATTGAAAAAAAAAAGAAAAAATAATAATAACGAAACTCCACATCGTCACCACCAACGGAGCGAGAGAGAGAGAGAGAGAGAAAAAAAAATAATTACAAATCGTTCGTTCGCATTTATAAGGAGAGCGGATCGATCTTCGGATAACCCACATAATACATAAACGTGTACATCGAAGCTGCGGATGCTGATGAACTCGTCGCACCGCCCACCGATAACGCGTATATAGCTCTTGCGCACCTAACTTGCACACACGCATACATACTGCACATGGGCAATACTAGCTGGGCACGTGATCGATCGATCTCTGCACATTCGTTCCTCCTTTCCTGAAGGCTCCTGCGAAAATATCCCCACGGAGCCTAAACGCCCGACTGTGTGTGTGTGTGTGCGTTTTACGCATCTGTACTGCAGTATAGTGCGTACACACAAACGCGAAATGATTCACGAGAAAGCTGCTTATGAAGATATCACAAACAACGGCGGCAGTGGCCGGATAGATCGCGATAATCGCGCTGTTGCCAATGCGAACTGGCTATTTTACATAAGGCTTAATTGCAAGAATGATTTGCAGAACGAACCGAGCATATCATGCATTATATATACACGCATACATATAAATATACCGCTCGCAGGCTGTGCACAATGCCGCTCTGTTCTTCTCTCTCTCTCTCTCTCTCTCTCTCTCGTGCTCTCTCTCGCTCGCGCGCGAACTTATCGAACGAACATTACACCTGTCCGTGTTTGCGTGCGCCAACGAATCGGTTTAATCGTAGCGATTCGCGTATTATACATGTATGCATTGACGTTATCAAACATTGCCGCGGCAACTCGCATGTTATTGCTTCACGTGCGCCCAAAGCATTGAAAATTAGCGATCGCAGACTCCGTCACTGTCGCGCAACTCACGAGTATTGATTTTTGTCCAAATAAACGAGACAAAAAATTAATTACAGTTTACCGTCTGCACATGTGAAAAAAACGTACTCTCTGATCAAATTAGAAATTTTTCTGATAAAATGATCTAATTAGTAAGTTATAAATTGAATGACGGCCCAATATATGTTGCGCACAAAATAACCCATACGAAGATTGGTCTAGTATAGTAGTTTAGTGCGCGAATGTGACAGGCGCAGAAGCTACATCGTACGGAGCAAGCAGAGGCGATTGTGGCGCAACTCGCGAGCAAAGAGAACGTATATGAGCAATTCTCTAAATGAAACGCATTTTTGGAGGTAGAATCGCGGCAAATTTTTTTTTTAACCTACGCGGATACGGACCCCCGGGAAATGTTTTTGGGGGTCCTAGGAACATGTAACCACGTAGGAACCATTGAAATTTCAATAGTGCTTACTTTTATAGCTACTTTTGTGATTTAGAGGACGAAAAATCATGTTTTCTCGTAAATACGGCTAATTACTCAATTTCTAAGTCGCTGAAAAAGTATCAAAACTCATCTAAAAAAAATAACTGGCTACTGTGTTCGATAGGAAATTTTCTCAGCTTTCCAATGGTGGTATCAGATTTTCCGATAAGTCGCACATTCACCGAGAAAATCGCCATCAAACATGCCAAGCTAAATATCTCGAAAAACTCGGTACGGAAAAAGTGATCTTTGAGGTTTAATTTCGATTTTTCCTCGTGAAAATGAAATTTATCGAAAAATCTGACTACACCATGAGAAAGCTGAGGAAATTTCCTATCGAAAGCATATCTTTATTTATTTTTTCGGTGGAATTACGAGCTAGTTTTGATTGTAGCGAGCCGAAAACCTCGCGACCGCGCTGAATCAGCTCGGAAACAGAAAACAGCGAACAACGTGAAAGAAATTCCCATGTATAACATTGTAATTCCACCGAAAAAATAAATAAAGATATGCTTTCGATAGGAAATTTCTTTGGCTTTCTCATGGTGTAGTCAGATTTTTCGATAAATTTCATTTTCACAAGGAAAAATCAACAATTATCCAAAAAGTTCACTTTTTCCGTACTGAATTTTTCGACATATTTAGCCCTCAATGTGTGATGGTGATTTTCTCGGTGAATGTGCAATTTATCGGAAAATCTGATACCACCATTGGAAAGCTGAGAAAATTTCCTATCGAACACAGTAGTCAGTTATTTTTTTTAGATGAGTTTTGATACTTTTTCAGCGACTTAGAAATTGAGTAATTAGCCGTATTTACGAGAAAACATGATTTTTCGTCCTCTAAATCACAAAAGTAGCTATAAAAATAAGCACTATCGAAATTTCAATGGTTCCTACGTGGTTACAGGTTCCTAGGACCCCCAAAAACATTTCCCGGGGGTCCGTATCCGCGTAGGTTGAAAAAAAAATTTGTCGCGATTCTACCTCAAAAAATGCGTTTCATTTGGAGAATTGCTCATATAAACGCGCACCTGTCATTTATCTAAAAACTAGCGATGTATAACTACCGTCGCACGGATCAAGGGGAGAGAGGGTAGAACAGCTGGTGTCGCGGTTACATAGTCGCTACATCGGTGTATCGGTCGCGCTGCAAAGTAGTTCCTGCGGGACAGATCGTCGACCTTGGTTATGCACCGCAGTCCTTGCACATAACGTATGTACGTATGTGTGTGTATATGAGACGAGCGGGTGGCCGACGGCAACGACGTCGCTCTGTCAGGCCGGCTTATCACGAGAGGGAACACCGGCGTAATGTTACGTGGTCGATGCATCGCACGATACGAGCGCCCAACTATACTTGCAACCTTTGGCCGATTTCTCTTTGGGGAGTTGAAAAACGCCATTCATAACGAGACTTGTTTATTTATCTACATGAAACTCGAGGCTATATGTCGACAATCAGACAAGAGAGCTTGAATAAAGAAATGTCCCCGCTAACACTCGCCGAGCACATTTTAATATTTTTTTATTCGAAAAGTCTCGCTAACACCACGTTTATATGGGCACGTATGTATAAAGCTATACGCATGGACAATGTTGAAATGTGCTGCTACAGCAGCCGCCGCAGCAGCAGACGGATTTTCAAAGTCATCGCCTCAAGGACAAATAGGGCGAGAAACGATCGAGCCAGCCGAGGTTTCGTTTCGAGCGTGCACGCGCGCGCGAACGGAGCGAGCTGTGTAGCATTGCTTCTCATACTTGCTCTCAGGCGAACGCTAATAACAGCGGCCTGAGCGTCGGCTGCCGCGGCAGGAGAGGAGCGCGAACCCCTCTCCAGGCAGACACACACGGCACACAGACTCACGCAGCAGTCATTTGGAGCAGTCATCTGTTACGGTTCAGCAGAAAAAAAAAATAAGAAGTAAGAACATATGAATCGAACACATACACGAGCACATTATAGCTTAAGCATGTACCAACGATAGATATATTATATCGAGGGTCGAGTAGCTTGACTTTTGAATGCGATGACTTTTCTATGATACGAACTTTGGCATATTGCGAGCTATACGCGGGCGTCGATACGAGTCGAATGACTCAATGTCGTATACACACACGACACAAGATGTGAATAGATTAGTCGGCGGATGAATGAAAAAAGCAGCCAGACGTCTATAAGATGAACGCATATAAAGTAGAGTAGCTTTGACTTTTTTTGAATCAAATCCGAGTTAACAGCGTGTTAATTAAAATTAAATATCCCAGCAGAGATATTAATCAATATTTTTTACTCATACAAACACTCTGGTCCCGTTAGAATTTATGAATATAATATGTTTGAGTCTAGGAAAAATTCACTATTTTTTTTTGATAAAAGAAAAATGAGTCTAAATAAAAAATGGTCCAGTTTGGCAGCTCTAGATAGAACCGCGTAAAATTAAAAAGTTTCCAATACAAGTGTACACACGCGGCAATGTCAATAACCTCGCGATAGTTGACGACGCGCGCAAACATACTCGCACAATCGCGCGCGAGACGTAAAATCTCAATAAGCGGTCTAGGGCTGCTATTTTTTCGCGCCAAAACTAGAAACGGAAGAAAAAATGACAATTCACTAGAGCCAAAACTCTGAAAGGTGGCAGAAGAAAATCGAAGAAATGCAGCACTCATATCGATTGAGAGATAAACACGCGACTACGTATATAACTTTTATTCAAATCATTCGCTGGTGTCGTTTATCAGCCTGCTATCTTTCACTCGCACTGTGGCTGCTGCTTTTTCTGCAAGCCTACAGGCAGATACATCGAATAAATGAATGCAGCAGACTAGGCTTATCCGCAGTGCACGGCGACGTCATTTATATATGGGCCGAGAACGAAAGAGAAGAAGATAAGGTGCCTGACTGACTATACGCACGAGTTATTTTTATATATTTTCTGAGCAAGCGAGAAAATGCGAAATTTTGCAAGTGATATAATTGTCGCGATACGACGCGACGCTACGCAGGTCGAGGAACTCGAGTGTTTGGGAAAAAAATTCGAGTAATCGCAAAAGGTGAATCGATCAAACGAGCAAAGTACATTGGCTTTATATGAGCCAAGGAATTGATGACAGGTAAAATGGTCGCGTTCGTTAACAATTTCCAAAGAAAGAGTTAGCGGTTACTCGTGTCACGACTCAATCTCTTTTCTTTCAGATGCACAAGGATGCTATATGTACGTTCGGTACAGTAGCCGGCTGCACAACGAAAGCGCGATCCCGCGTCAATTATCTCACACGCTCGGGCACTGATACGTTGCATGATAAAATCATTGGTTAGCTGCAAAAATGTACGCCGCATTTTCTCGCTCCAGCGGCAAAAGCGAGCTGGTTAAAATTACGAGTCGAGAGCGCCTTCGAAGAAGCAAAACGAAGTTGTCGACGAAGAAATCACCGATTCTGCCTTTGAGCCGTACGTAATATAGCGTGTACTCTGCCCGGAGAGAAGAAACCGTGTCGTCTTCCAACGTCTAGTTACAAAACACATATTGCCTATATATACTAGTAATGCGTGTATATATGTGTGTGTATGTTTATGTGTATATATGCGCGCAGAAAATATATACAGACGGAGGCAGAAAGGGTTAAGCGATTCTGGAATTTCCGCAGCCAACATCGCGTGTAACAAACAGTCGGATCAATTCTGCGAAGCATCATCGCATATACGTATACGCGCCGAGGCGCTGCATTTCCGACTCGTTGAGATTTCTTCTTTGCTCATTTATTCTTCTTGTTTCTCGAGAAAAATTTTGCCACCGTAAGATAAAAATTGACTTATTAAAGCTAAAATGTGTAACGGTTTTCTTGCACTCCCGCAAATGCGTCGAAGAGAAAAAAATTATATGAGCACGAGAAGAACTGATCACGTCCGTTGATACGATCGTAGATCCACATATTAAAGTGTAAACAGCGGAGGGCAAGGTCAACGACATTTTTGACAACAACAAATTACACACCAAGTGTCAACTCGAGTGCCACTGCAGATCGTTGCAGCACCGCAGTAGCTCGCGCAAGCTAGACGTTAGACGTGAAACGAGCCGTGCAATTTTCTGTGCCGGCTGCTGCTGCTCATGCTGTGTTTTGTTAACACAGAGAGAGAGACGAGTAGAGAAGAATTTACTTGCATCGCAAATGCGACTCTCAATCGCGGGAGCAGAAAAAACAGATTGCTGCGCGAGCACACTGCATCGATAATTTCGGCTGCCAGTGAATTATTTATCGAGTTTAAAGCGCTTGTGAAAATACGCGCAAGTCAATTCTCTTGATGTAAACACACATGTTGTGCAGAGCGTCGAACGCGTGTTACTCGGATACACGATAGCACGCGCTTTATCGCGAAACAAACGACGCGAGAAAGAGAATCGCGAGTCCCCGTGGAGTTCATTCAGATAGATTATATTTGCGCGTGCTACGAATTTTCGCGCAATTTTTTTGCACAATCACTATAGCCAAAACACGACTGTCATCGTCGACTCAAAAAGGTTTTTTGCACTGTTGCAAATTTTGCGCGAATTTACGAAAAAAATCGGAGTTGATGCTTAGGAACAATCGGCATTCCAAGCCTAACCTCAAAAATGCTCGGCGTGAAATAATATCAACACACGTACACACGCGCTCGGAGTTTCAGAGGCGGATTAAGTGTATCACACGGCTTCATTAGCATCTCTTATTATACGAATCTATGTTTCTTGGTAAGAGCTCGCTATTCAATACGCAGCTTGAAATTTCAAAATTAGAGAGAAAAGAAGAGAAGCTACATTCCTATAGACTTATATTTCCGAGTAAGCGGTCCGACGGGCACGTGCGGCGTCGGCCGTATAGAGCAGCAGTCCGAGCTCCCTGATCAGACACGCTGTCTACGAGAAAACCTCGCGACGACTCGGTTTTTCCACACAGACTCACAGCTACAAAGAAAAAGTGCTGAAAAGGACACTTACCCCCCTGGGCTGCGCCATGTACGCCCTGGCAGCACCCGGGAACTCTGCGTGCTGTGCCACCGTAGCGGCTATGTTTTCACCGGGGTAAATGACGAAAGTCCTTTCTCACAGAGCAGTGGATACTGCGCGTCTTAATTTCTCTTACACTCAAACAATAACAACAACAAACTCACTGATGATTCAAATTTATAAATACTATATTTACAAATACAATTTGAATTAAGACAAATATTGCACACTTATAGAATTTATCCTTGGAATGAGGAATTTATGGTCACTTATTTAAAACACACTCGCGAACACGTACATTTGAACGAGACACCGATTATTAGACTAAAATAGATCCGTCGTTGACTGACTCTTACACGATCAGAAGTCTTCTTCAGACTGACTTTCACACCGTCGTTGGGATCTGTAACAAGCAGCTGGACGTTGGTCAGTAGATCGTGGCGACATCCGAACGCTTGACAGATATTCTCAGCACCTCGCTATGTGATTCTTGCCTCGTCATTATAATTCTCTAAGAACGTCGTCTACGCCTTGTTACACGGCTCTAACATTGAAAGACTCGTGTCGATACCAATTCAATACTTGCACTCGGGCCTTGAATAATACTAGACAGCAACGTACAACTGGAGATGCACTCGGGAATTAAGCAATTAGATCGCTTAGTTCCGTTCTTTTTGGTGACAGACTTTCAGTCTAGCTGGCTCCTGTGTAGACGACAGCTGTCTTTATAAATTTGAATGATGATGCTGCGCCTTGGAAGATTGGCGAGAGGCACAGTTTTTATGAGAAGTCGAGAACAATAGCGCAGGCAATCGAAACTCACGGCACACGTTTTCTTGACTACTTGTCTGTAGTTTTAGACGAAGCTAGAGAGTCCAGAGCGATGAGTTCTGGCTCTCTGACTGGGCTTATCTTGGATTTGCGCATACACTGACCGATTAGGTGCTCTTACTGCCGACTACGACGACGCGCGCGCCTATCGTTTGATCAATCGTCGATGATTTGAACTTGGCATACACATGTATACAATGTGTGTACATTCAAGCTATGTTCGAGCAATATCGACGACGAGAAATATCGACGACGATACAACGCGGTAGGTGTACGCGCGCGACGTAAATATACTAACTAATACAGAAATGACAACAAGCGAAACGATAGCAGATTATATTTTGAGTAAACCGGACCGATCGGAAATCGCAGCACCGTAAACGAAAGATCCTGCGTCGTCCGCAGTCGTTCGCTAACTGTCAATCAGAGCGAGCGGCCAGCTTTGTAGTGGGAGGTGCAGCGTACACGCCTACCGGGCGCAGTGGGGCCAATGGACCGGAGTAACGCCCAACGACCGCGGCGCCACTGTGGAGGAGCGACGAATCACCGGCCAGGGCCATCGTGCCTCCACCGCCGAGCCGAGCTGCTTCCGTCTCGCTCGCACCCGTGTCTTGGCGCGGCTCCGCGGCCGAACGAGACGACCCCTCGCGGCTGCCACGGGCACCGGCCTGGCCGTCTAGCTGCGAGGCACACAGGAGTGGGAGCCGTTTCGCGTCCCCCTCCCTCGCGCTGCCTACTACCCGGCCGCTGCCGCAGCGAGAGCCGAGCTCCGCACGCAACACACGGCAGAGCCCAGGCCTCGCGAGTCTGCAATTTTGCTCGGCAGCACGTGTTTTCTTTCCTCTGCGCGCGTCGGAGGAGCGGCTCGAGCTCTCGGAGCCGCGCCGTAGGTAGTGCATGCAGTGTAGCGGCGGACTGTCGGGACGCGTACTATACACATATATATACACGAGCGTCGATTCTTCTGTGTGCGATAGCCGAGCGACGGCCTCGCGATCGGAGCCACTGCTACTTCCTATGCGCTCGCTTGTATTATGCATTTTTCGACGTACGTTTTTAATTCAGAAGCCTCTGTTTTACCGCTCTTTGCCCCTCGAGTCGTTTCTTAGAGCTTTGCTAGTATTGTATTTTTGCTCTCTATGTTGACGTGTTACAGTTACGAGTGAATCAAGTTTAGAAACACCAGTGCTTATAGTTGATTTTCGACGCTGAAAATAATTCAAAAACATCGTACTTATACGCGTGCACACGAGATATCGAAAATATTTGTTTTCATAGATTTACTACGAGTGATAGTTGACCTTTTAATTTTAGAATCAAACATCAGCAATGATAAGCATTTTTGTTTTGACGCTCGTGATTTTTCCTCCAAGACAGCGATATCATCGGTAGGAAAAAAAATAAAAAAAACGAAGGCAAAACTCGGCCGCTTTATAGAAAAAGGTCAATATATTCTTGTGCGTCGCGAGGTGCATACATAGTGTGTTGTAACGTACATAAAATCAGCTGACGAGGAATTGGGTCGCGAATCGAAACTACATCGAACTATATCGAATGACACGTCGAGGGGGATGAGCGTGGCCGGGTAGGATCGTTGTGCACGGTACACAAGCGGTATATGCCCACGCGTTTGTATTATAGGTGAGCCGCTGCTCTCCGGGCGAGTAATAGGCACCGCCGCGGCAGCAGAGACCGACGGACCGACAGCAGCGCAGAGAGCTACACACTACGACGACGCTCCAATATGCCGTGCAGGGGAGGACTCGAGCCTGTCACCGACATGGCTCACGCAGCTCCGACGCCACACACCAACGACGCGTTTTATGCACACACATGTACACTATGCGCCAGCGACTATAGCATCGTGGATGCCAGTAGCCCACAACACTCTATATACTTACGTTCTATACGTCCCCGTGTAAGTGTGTGCATATACATGTACCTATACGCTCAGCGGTATAAACTGGCAGCCTTGATTTTATAACTAGCATCTATACACACCGTAAGCGATCGTTGATATGTATATTCGAACCAGCTGCAGTGTCAGCGTACAGTATACATTTCGCGAGAACTTGGCCTTGAAGACCGATTCCGATAATTTATCTATTGCGAACTTTTGAAGGTGCAGCTCGGGCGCCTTCCACCATATACAAGTGTTATTATGGATTACGTGATTGACACGACAGCTTCGAGTGTCATCGATTATGTTTTACCTGAAAAATTTGTGTCAGTGATGATAACTTTCGCCGAAAACAATTGACGCACACTACTCGTCTTGATTGAGCTATCAACCACAAAAGTCTAATAGATACTTATTGTACACTCAATATCAATATTTAACTAGCCGCGATAAAGTACGCGGAACCAAAGCTGTTTTACATTTTTCAGCGGATTCTTTTGGCTAGCGCGCGACAACTTGGAGAGGCTCGCAATAATGCTCAATAAAAACGGACTAACCTTGTTTACATGTTTAATCGTTTAAAGCACTATGATACAACGTAGAGACAAAAGTGTTACGAACGTACCGTCTTACCTATATAAAAGATGTAGCGCAGAGGAAACATCATCAACAAAGAATCAATTCGGTTCATTGCACGTAACCAGTTGTTTTGTAATAAATTGTTCTTTCGCTAGGCCAAAACACGCAGCAGCCCTTAGGGGGTGTTCTTCCCTCGGTTTTGTACCGCATACATAAATTTGACTTTCAGGGGTTGCAGTTGTCAAACGAGGATAAAAATACCGCGATAAATTTTTTAAATGTCAAAACTCGAGTACACTTTTGACCGATGAAAAATCATCTCGCATTATGTTGGCGCAGTGCTGCTGCCGCTCGCACCTTGAAGCGACGAGATCGTGCGAGCTGAGCGACGGATGACGATCCACATACATAAGCAGTGTTATAAGCAGCGGGTCTGTCGAAAGCCATCATCTTGTTCTTGTTCTCGGCTCATTCGGGAGGATTACTATAATTAAGTGGACCAATGTTTTCTTTTTTAAAAGTCACACCTTCGGACGCACTTATTATGAGATACGGAAAAATGAACATTAGAAAAATTTATTCAACTAATAATTTGATTCGATTTCCCAACCTAAAACTGCCAGTCACGCTGGCCACCGTGAATAATCGCGGCTTTATAGGTACCCGTGAAAGCATCTCGACGCAGCTTTTTTTTTCTCTCGAACTAATTAAAATATTCAAATTCATAAAGACACGGTCGAGCGCGACACGTCTTACCCTTTTTGCCAGTATAGCGGTGGCAGTCATAGAAATGCAAATGTACGCGCAGCGATACCACTCGTCACTATAGGGCTGTACATTGTAGGCCCATAATAAGGGAGCTGCTGTGCATCTGCATGCACGATTTGTGTGTCGGGTGAGCGATCGCGGCCTGTAGCAGCATAGCTCGAGAGAGAGACAGAGAGAAAGTGCGAAGCCAAGCGCGCACTTGTATCGGGATCGACACGATGTTTAAGGCATTGTAAGCTGCCTGAATCTGAGCCGTCCTCTTGTGCTTGCGCACCACTCCGTGAAACGCCCTCCAGTCTGACTTATATCCGTTATTACCGGCTAATGTATAACAATGCAGCATCGCACAGAGCGTTCGAATGCGTAGCCCTTTTCTATATTAAAATGTCGTCCCAGTCGCTCGACTATGAATTACATGCGCTTATATTATTCTTCTGCACGTACACGGGGCCTGGCGTTGCTACTACTATACCACTACTCAGCAGGTGGTGAATTTCGATTTGATACTTTTCTTCGAGCTATCTAGAAACTGTATTGAAAACTCGATTATTACGAAGACACTGCCGTCTTTCGATTCAAAAAGTTACCTTCAACTTATAAGAAATACGTGGTAGGTATATAGCGATCATGTATGTTGATAAATATTTATCCTGTGACGTCAAATGGAAATTAAATTCTGACTCATTTTTGGCAGACAGAAAAAATTGATCAACAATATGGAAGATATAAACATTCGTAAATCTGTAAAAAAAATCGATAATTTAGAATGAAAATGATTACGTGAAACGAACGAGCTCTTGCCTTCGCGTGGATTGGAGATTACATCGAGCAAGAGACAACTGGACATTGTAATTCGTAGCGACGTTATCCATGCAATTTTTATCAAAACGTTTAGAGAGACGGCACGCATAAGCGTCATTAACGAGTATCTTGATGAAAAGAAAAAGAGAGAAGAAAGAGGGGAATGCCGAAGGAAAGGTGAAAATGTCCGATCAAGTCTCATCGACAGGTACTTGCATATTACACGTACAATATAATTCACGTGTTGAATCACGTGCATGACGTTATCTTGAAGCTTTTTGAGATAAATTGACCGCGAGCAAAAATTGATACTTTTTTTTATAATGTCCATATGTGTATAATATATGCACGAAATATTCTGATACAAAATGCAAATGCATCAACACGAAATCACTAGTTATGTTTGTAACTGTAAACGTAATTACACACGGGTGAAAAATTTTCAAAATATTCTTGTCACAGAACCAACGTACACTGGAGGAAATCGTATTCACCGCACCAATGAAAATTTTAATAGACTAGCAATATTTTTTAAATTAAAATCTATTCAGACAAAATTTATTCGGATACAAAAGTCGTTTAAAACTAATCGAACCATTGGCAATGCGATTACGGACGTCAAGTGCTCGGTGTTTTCTAGACGTGTTAAACGACTGAAGGTCTCTGCCAATACTGTTTTTCTGAAGTCGATACGAGCCAACTTATGCACGAACTGGTCACGAGTTAGATCGTGCTCAAGCTCAACCAGCAGAGACCAATAAAATGTAATCGCTGCGCGTATCAAGGTATGTGAGTATGCGACTAATTATTTCTTGTCAAATACAATTCAATTCGATCGGCAGAAAACTTCTGGGAATATAAGAGAAGGCAAGAAATGGAAAGATTTTGCTAATTTTAAAATCACCGCGACGCAATTACGAATCGTCGGCTAAAAATGTGAAAGTTCTTAGAAAATTGATAAGTCGCGCTCGGTTGACACCAATATGAATTGGGTTCTGCCGACGAGTTTTTCACACCTCTTCGCGCGCGCCGAGACTAAACAAGCTCGGGTGTAATATCACGCAATAGTATACGCGCCTCCGTCTGAAAAACAACCGATTCGTAAAGGGACAGACGTCTCGGCTCGGTATAGATCATCGGCCCTCGCGACGAGTGACGACTAAGACGAGTCTCTTCGAGACTATTTCATAATTGAATCGTCGTGTGTGAGGCGTGCTACGAGCCAACGAGCAGATTCCTTGAAAACGTCTTATCGAATTCCGTCGGAATCGAATCGGAAAGTGCCGAGGATGAATCAAGCTGGAAGACCTTATTATTTCGCGCACGCATATCGAGCAAATTCGAACATACGCTCAC